ATAAAGTAATTTGTGACCTTTCTTTTTTAGAAGCTCCCCAGAAAAAGGGCCTAGTGGTTTACAAAAATATAAGCGGAGGACCTTTTTTTTAGATCTCCACAAAGAAAGGAGCTTATTTTATAAAAATATCTCCTTTTTTAAACTGATTCCTGTCGTCGCCTTTGTCCATCTTTTCCTTCTGTAAATCTGGCAACCCTATACTCCGCCTTTCTTTCGATTTTACAAATAACACAACCAAACAATATTTTAATAATTCAAAAGTAAAAGTTTTACATTTGTCATCTCATTTGACATTTCATATCTCTGATGACCACGTTTTTACTGTAGTTATATTAAACTTGACCATTTCAAGACAATATTCAATATGACGTCATTATTTTTTATTTATATCAGTGTAGTCATTCATATTCAAGACATGGTATCTGATTTAAAATCGCCTATTAATTTTTTATTTGAAGATTGACGGAATGAAAATGTTTTAATGTCATTTAAATGAAGCTATTTTAAAAAAATACTTTCTTTTTCTCCAAAACTGACTAGCTTTACTAGCTCGAGTTTAACACATGACGTAAAAGTGTAATAAAACGGTACCGACACTTTTAGTATCGTCATTATTCTATCTCAATGAGTTCACTACTACGCACCTTTCTCGTTCTAGCCAGTTTCTCATCGATGCTTTCATTTTTTTGTTGTTCATTCATGGTCCTGTCTAATATTCTACGTTTTAAAAATGATCTAAATCTGTTCATTACACTAGGCGGCTTACAGTCATTACAAACGGTACCAGATTTTTCAAACTCCACATTCATAGGCTTGGTTTCTTTGGTAGCGGAAACTAAAAAAATAATACTTTTTAAAGTGTTTGGCCTGTAACATTTGCACATGTCAACGACCGATGACTTTTAGCCACTTTGAACCCTGTCTATACATTTCCAGAACCACAACAAACAGGTCTCCAATAGACTAGACCAGGGATCACCAGGGTTCAGTGTACCGTGCTACTTTAATAATTTCCGAGTAGAAAATGAGCTATCTAAATCGATCTATGGACAGTGAGAATATAACCATCTGAGGACTCAAAATCATGGTTCATCTTAACTCCTCTAAAATACTCAATAAGGTATTCTCAAATAAAAAACACACCAGTATCCCATGCCTGTATTATGTGAATGAAAACTTTCATTTAGATGATCTTAGATAATTATCACCCGCTAGGCACAGTCAGGAATAGACTATTTCATGAATCAGAACAATATTTATCAATAAAAAGGAAGTTAATAAAGCCCACCAAATGTTACAATGCTATTTTCACACTATGGTAATCAGCCATCGATAGAAGATGTTACCAAATAGTCGAGATTAGAATATAACAAATTGTCGCGAGTTTTAACCAATTATAGAAGAACATATTAAAACTGATGCTGCCATCTGGCGAGCGCAACAGAACAATAAAGGCTGGGATTTACAGAGAAAACGGGAAAACATGTAAGTGAACCAACTTATAGGTTCAAGGGGAAACTCGTGGAGCGAAGCTCGCGAAATGATATATAATGCAGGTGTAACAATAGTTCCTTATGTAATCAACTCAAAAATGGCCTAAAGATGCCTAGAAGCTACTCACTTTTATTCCAGGACACGACGGGGTAACAAGATTGAAGATGATCTCGCAGGGACTGAAGCTCAAACACATTGTGGGATTTGATCCGTTTTGCAGTATCAGCAGTAACAGAATATTAGGAGAGATTAAATAGTAGAATAACCAACAATTGGACATTCTCTTGTGGCTAGAATAGGCTACGCCTAGGCATAGTAGCAGAATGCCGATTCTGTGAGGATGAAGAGAACGAAACCTCCATTTACGTTCTTATTGAATATGTAGGACTACAGAAGCGAAAAGCACCATACGTAGGAGCATACCAAATAAAAGAGATCGATCTTCTCAGCTTGGAGCCACTCCAAATCCCAACCTTTCCTAGGGAAGATTGGATTGGAAGGGTCGGGATAGACAAAATTTGCTGCATTAACGACAGAAGGGGACTCAATAGATCTCGTATGTCGAAGTGTGTTAATACCTCATGTTAAGTATGAAGTAGGGTGATTTATTTCCACAAAAAAAAATTTGAGCTCTTAATATCAATTTTAAGTACTTACTGTTTAAATTTAAAGTTTTACCATTTAAAATGCATCTAAAAATTTTTTTTAAATTTCTAATGCTTGCCCACCTTTTACAATATTGCAAATAGGTTTGATGGACCTTGTGGGGAATTTCACGCCCTTCGAAATTATATTCATTATGAGTGAGAAATCATAATAATTCTAAAAAAGTTCTTAGTGTAGGGAAATATAATGGTAATCAATAGAAAAAATTAATCTAAATAACATTATGAGTTAGTATTTATCAATTTCTTACGTTTTCAGGCTGTAAATTCATTAAATATTGATCGGATAACTTTTTTTTTAAGAAAAAATTAAAAAAAATTTTTTTTTTAAAAACTGTATTTACGACTCCTACTGATGAACCAGTGCGAGTTACACAAAAAAAAACTCTAAAGCAGATTCGAAGAGCATGAAATTCCCCACAAGGTCCATTAGAAATTAAAAAAAAAATAATTTATTTTTACATGCATTTTAAATAGTAAAACTTTAAATTAAAATAGTAAGTACTTAAAATTGATATTAGAGCTTAAACTTGGTGGGAATTTTTATTTCTATAATATGTAGATTAATATTTTGCTTGAGCACCGAAAATAAAACTGCGGAAATGAATCGCCCTAGTATGGAGTACTAATAAAAGATCTCTATTGTGCAACCTTCTGTCGCTAATGCAATTGAACACCGCATACATAAAATTACAATAGAATCATGCTTATTTTTCTCTTCTTTAATAAGCTGTATAAAACATACTGGCTATTGCCGACCACGATACACAATACTTATAATTTTACTCCCAAAAAACTAAATCCACCAAGTTTTTATCAATAATTAATCAATCACTGACCAAATAATGCAAGTTCCTAAAATAGTCATCATTTAAAATCAGAATATAGGAACAGTTAAAAAATATTGTTTAAGTTATTCTTAGGTACCTGAATAACAAGTAATGTTAGATAATTTGTCCTTAACAATCTCCAGTATATTTCTTCCAAACGTACCCCCAAGTCTCTGTAGAGGGATAATCGCTTTGGTTATTTTTTGCAGGTTTGCCATTTTGTTTTAACGATTTAAAAGTGTGTTTGGTTATAACTATGATACTGTTTCCCTTAAGGACTATTTTCGAAATGGACAGCATTTCTACGAGACAGTATCTGACATGACATTAATTTTATTTGAGTTTGTTTTCAAAAGGCAGATAACTGGATTAGATCCTGGACAACTTTATTTTTTATACCATGTGGATAACTCATATACTTTTACAAGTTCTTGTTTCTTTCGTATTAGCACTTGGACTGAATAGCCTTTATTCTCATGCATTGATCATACAATAGAAGTATAGTACTAGCGTTTATATGATAGTTTATATCCTAAAGTCTCGGAAATACCCCCAAGTTACTAGATTTTGGCACGTCGTAGATTAATTACATCATTGTTATTATGATTGTCAGGTGGCAGTTATCAAAATAATTTTGAATTTGTCAATTTAAAAATTTTAATATTTCAAAAGTTTTTATTTAGTGATCACTCAAAAACTTTTATCCTAAACGTAGTTTCCAATTTTAAGAGACACAAATCTATTTGCGATGCTCTTGGAAAGAGGTTCAATCAAATGGCTGCAGAGGCATTAAATAATTCCCATCAAATTCTGATACAGAGTATATGAAAATAATATCTAAAAAAGTAAGCCAAAGTAAAACAGTCAATTATTTAATTTTGAGTAAGTTGAGATGTACGAAAGTGCGCAACATGTAACAATGAAATCGTTACATAAACGATTTTTGGAAGAAATGCCTGATGTGAAATGTTCTGCTCGGTCAATTAATACATGAATTCGAAAAATGGCTTTCGCTTTAAAAAAAGTAACAACAGACAGTTTTTATTGGAACGAACATCGATTCAGATAAACAAGGAGATACAGCCGGGTAACTTTAAGCCTGTATTTATGGATGAGACATGGGTATATAACAAGATAAGTGACAGAAAAAGTTGACATGATGAAACTATGGCTACTGCATGTAAAAAACAGGAGATGGAATTCGATGAATTCGATACATAATTGTTCATGGTGACAATGAAGAAGGATTTATAAAAAAATGCAGCCTTCATATTTAAAAGTCAAACAAAAAGCAGGGATTACCATAATATTTAAATTTTGAAAAATGGTTTAAGACTAAATTTGTACCTAGTCTGGAACAACCTTCTTTGATTATATTCGATAATGCCAGTTATCATTCGTGGTACGTGGAACCAATTCCATGTTATAGTTGGACAAAAAATAAAATGGTATAATGCAGGAAAAGAACATTAATTATCCAATCAACGGTATGAAATATCAGATTTGGGAACTTATACCTCAAAATCTACCACGAAAAGGATACCACCTAGATAAATATGTTGAGGAATAAGGGCATACAATATTAAGAATTCCTCCTTATCCCTGCCAGAACAATGTGATAGAGTTAGTGTGGCCAAAGTGCAAACGGTTTTATGACGAAAAAATTGTAACAACAAAGTCGTCACCGGAAGATATGTTTCAGACTGTCAGAAGCTTTGATTTATGTTACCCATACTCAGTGGGACAATTATGTAAGACACGCTAAAAACATAATAATTTCCGATTGGGAAAAATATAAGCAACAACAAAGCGCAACTGACATAAGACACCTGCAAGGACTTGGGGTATTTCTATCACTTTCTGATAGATTACAAGAAAAGGACCTACAGAATTCCAATTTCCCTGAAGTAGAGTGTCAGTTACGTTTCTTGTATCCTTTTTTGTTGATCCCATGGACATAATTTCTATTATAGCAAAGATATCTACTTAATTGATTACTTTTTTTTTTTAGAAAATCTTACGATTCGCAAGCGTCTGTAGAAACTGCCTCGTTCAGTGGAGAAATGAATTGGGAGACAAAAAGTATGACCAAGTTAAGAAGTTTTGTCCAATCTAAAGACGGCAAAATTAATTTAAAAACAGTTCCTAAAATGTCACAACCTCGTTTCATCACACTTTGGAAGACTGTGTACGATATATTCCAAACTGAACCTGATGATTTGGTAAGCTGAATAACTTCAAAATTAAAAAAGTGTAATTAATAATTATTTTATTTAAACGTCCATTTTGCACCAATATTATCAATTTCTATTGTTTTTAGGAAATGTATCAAGCCATTACAAATGTAGTCACACTGCTTTTTGAACTTGGCGACGTCGGCAAACAATTTTTCGTATGTCGAGATGAGTCTGATGACAGTTTAGTGACAGCTGCCAACGAGACGTTGTCGAGTACTCTAATCGATAAAATGGTAAGTTATCATTTTGTATATTTAATAAACAAAAATAGAAAACAAACGTGTTGAAGATAGATTCGTTGGTACACAAGAATAGTGAAACAATTCAGAAATTTGAATTTTCGAGCTTATTGTAATAATGTATAGCAAAATCCGCATAGTTTTATGTGGAAGATCGACAAATTGCTACTTCTAAAAATGACCGCTGGAAAGTGGTTGTCTCGTTCTTCCCGTACTACAAAGTCGCGAATTAGAAGAAGAAGAGTGATACAAATCTAGTTGTCTTCAGTCAATGAAACAAGATCGTCAATTTTCGCCTAGAATGACATATATCAAAATATGCCAGTTTTATTAAAAATTGAGTAAGAACATCAGTTTCAACAGTCACACAAGTCAAATTAGGGCATTATTCTTGAAAATGTCATTATGAATATAGTGTAAAATTTACTTTTATAGAAGATCATTGTAGGTTTGGTGAGGAGTTGTAATAAAATACACATACGATTTTAATTAATATATATTTTTCAGAGCGGAAAGTTAGTTAGTAACTCAAACGATATAGTCTGGCTGGGTGACTGACATAATTATAATGCAATCGAAAAAGGTCTCTTATCCTCGGTTTACCTGGGTCTGCGTCAAGGATAATAATTAATTCTTAATCTTCGAACTAAGTAACAGATATTATTGACAGTAAATGTTCGATGGGTTTTTGCAATTGGGTTTTTATACTTAAATTATAATATTTCTTCTGGGTGTGACGATGTAGCATGCCACCACAATCATCGTAACTCAAAAGAGGAATGACTATATTTTCTGTTTTTCTTAATGTTGCCTAAACAAACTTATTGTTTGAATTCGAGGTAAATACTAATGTTTATTCCCAAAAAGTTATTTAAACATTTTTAAGAAACTTTAAAATGGATGTCCACGAAAATCTGTTTTTGATTTGCGTCACTATTCTTGTGTACCAACGATATGAAGTCAAATGGTTTATCAATGGTCAGTATTTTCTTAGATTTTTAGAAATGTAGTTTTCATTTGTTTTTTTTATCTTAGTCTCCTGATAGAAACGGCAATCCATCAGTCAACCCTTCAACGCCAAAAACAGAGATCCAGTGGTATATAACAGTGGAACAATTCTTAGCTTCAATATTGAATTCGCAGCCGTTGGTCGAATTCTTTTCGAAGCGCGTGGAGATCAAGGAGAAAATACAACTGTTAAAAAACAAAAAATATTTCAGGTTAAACTCTTTTTACGAAGTGCCCGCCATCAAAGTCTGATTTGAACTGTATTGAAAGTTTTCATGTTTAATACATCGCTCAATGTAAAAAAAATACGGGGCAAAATTTTTGACAAATTTGTTGTTTGCTGCTTGTAGGTGCAGTTTGTGATTCTTGCATTGAAAATACGATGAATGAAGAAGTAAAATCTTTCAAAAATACAACGTAACTTTATACAATACTTTTTTTTCAATTATTTTTTAATTTACTTTTTGCCAATAGAGGACTTCTATACAAATACAATGCAGCCAACTTAACAAAATAACATTGACATTATTGGCATAAGAAGATTTTTTCATCTTCTATGTTGTTTACATATCATGTTGTATCCATAACCATAAAATATACTTTTTAATTTAGGATATTTCAAGGTTGAAAAAATGTGTCAATGTTAGCTGTCTATAATGTTAAACCATAAGCAGAGAATAGCGTTTTATAATTTTATTATTAGTCTTTGTGTCTGTATTGTTTTTTTTCTGCTTTGTTTCAACATTCCTTTTGATTTCAATGATTTGTGTTAAATCAAAAGAGCTGCTGGTGCTGCTGCAAGTACAAGTTCCATACAACCACATAAAACACAAATAATAAATAATTTATAAAAAATTAATACCAATGCAAAGGCAGGATTCCCCACTTGACCATTCACTGTTGGTTTCTTAACAGTGCTGTTCCTAAAGTGGCGCTGGTAAACAGTAACGAAGCATACACATAACACGAGTCTAATAAACTTAGTAGTTGATGTCTTAAAAGAAAAATATAATTATATTGTTCACTATTTTTGTTACAAATATTGTACATCTACATTCTCCAGATCCGCATTAGATGAGGAGACCTTCATCCTGACCTTAATTGAAAGAAAAATATAATTATATTTTTCACTATTTTTGTTACAAATATTGTACATCTACATTCTCCAGATCCGCATTAGAAAAGGAGACCTTCATCCTTACCTCGGGTTTCCAAGGGGCCACTGGTTGATCTTCAGGCCGGACTGTAGAAAAGTAAATGTTTAACCTTATCATCTTGTGGAGTCTACTCCTTACTCTTACGAGCATTACTAGACTAGTTTGGCTGTTGTCCGGTAGAATGGTAATTGGTGTGAATGTGTATGTTGTCTGATTTTTATTATTTTTTTTTTTTCTGAAAAAGCGAACGAAAAAACAGGGGTTTCGTTATATGTGAGATTGTCCGCTATTGTTTTTGTCTTAGAAGTGTACACTACTCGTAAACCACTCTGATAGGCAGGTCGACGACCTGACGCCTCGCCTACCCGTCCAGTCCACCCGCCGACCAGAATCGGTGATCCTGGCCGTATTTTCATTAATTGTTTGTCCTTTTTAGCATCTTTATATTGTCAGGATACGTTATGACCATATTTGGTTACATTTGTGTTCCACTCATCAACATTATTGACACACATTTTTGTCAACCTTTACATATAAAATACCCCAAATTAAAAAGTAATTTACGTTACGGGTACAATATGGTATGTAAGTCATAAAAGTATATATAAAAAATAGCCTCTTCAATTTTTTAGGTTGGCTGCAGTCACCTTGTATAGAAGTCTTGAATTTAAAAAAATATATTTGATCTATAATATTCACTTTACTCGCCAAATGATTCAATAACCTAACTTTTGACACGTATTTGTCACTTATTTTCAGAATGCGTTCACGAAGAAAGTTAGAATTTTTATTAGTCCAAACTATTTACGTCCGTAATTTATGTCAAGATTATTATAATCGAATACTATTCTAAATTTGTGATTTCTATATAAAATTACATAAAAGTACATCACATGTCATGTCTACTATCTACTACTGATAACACATTTTATATTTCACACATAAATCAAAAATTATGTTAAGATAATATTCCGATTATTTGTAAATATTATGATTCCGATTGGCTATCAAGCTTTAGAATTTCATTGGTTCGGTATTGTTGTTTGGATTTGAAATATTCTTTTTGTCTATTGACCAGAAAAGTTGCTAAATATGCCGCATTAGACTTCTGCTGAATGATGAGAAATGTTTGGAAAACAGTCTCTTTTTCGCCCGATGTGAAAATAATCGGAATGCGGAATAATATTCCGATTATTCAAAATCATTCGAATACTAACATTCCGATTGTTGGAATCATCCGATTATTGCCAGCACTAATTAAAAGTTGACACGAATTTGACAGACGTATAATTTGACATGTTGCAGTATAATTGACATATGTGTCAATGTAGCTTAATAAACCTTTATTTGGTCATTGTTTTAATGAATGATTGTTAGCCAACAAATTTTATTGATATACAGGGTGTTTCAGAATGTTGTGAAGAAAATTTAATGGCAGAATATACATCTAATATTATGAAAAAAGTCCATATGAACATAGGTCTCGAAATTCTGTCAAAAACCAGTTGCGTACAGTTTTTTTCCACTAAACATGACTTTCCTGTCACGAATGCCACTGATGTACATGTAAATGTGACCTTTTATGATACATTTTCGTGTACCAAAACTCATTTCAGTGTCTCAACGGGTTATCGATAAATGTAAGAGAAACTATTAAGACGGAAAATTTTAAACACCTCGTAACATGAAAACGGAGCATTTTGAGTCCCATAATTATGTGAACTTTTTTTTCATATTTTTAAATGTAGAATCTGCCATTAAATTTTCTTCACAACATTCTGTAGCACCCTGTAGGTGTAATTATTTTCTATATCAAGGGACATTAAAAAAATTCAGTATTCTTGATTAATTTTGAATTAATAAGATTTAATAAAATATGTTATATACAGTGCTTGCAAGACCACACCATCGAGTCTCTGCTTTACTTGTGTTAAAGTGAATTATAAATATCGTTCACATATACATGAGAAGAAACTATATAGTACAGCTGTCTTTTGTTTTGAGACAGTAGAACGCATGCGAATTACGGAGTATTTGGAGAAAATCAAAATTTCACATATGCGTTATAAAGACTGGGTTGCCTCGTCTCCCCGCGTTTTGCTAGTTACGATTAATAATAATGAAGCTGTAGCGGATTGTGTCAATTATATAGTATTGTTGCAAACACTTCGTGTTTATATAATCTAAGATGAAGCGCTGAGTTGGATAAAATCTTATCTTTCAGAACGTAAGCAAATGGTAAGAGGTACTATAAGGACTCTCAAGTTTTAGATATAAGTTGATAGTCCGTCAGGTTTCTGTGTTGGGTTCTATTTTATTTAATTAGGCACAAATGGTCTGTTCTATTAACCGTTTATCTTTGATTATGCCTGCATTGTTGTGAACTATCCTTAATTGATATTTTTTGTAAAGGTATTAGCAAATTGACACGAGGCGATTATACAATAGGTCGTTAAATAATGTTAAATTTCTTTATATACCTAGATCTGTATTTCAAACTATTTAAAATTACCTATGTGAGACCAACACTGAACCTAACATATGTTTATGAAAATCCAAACTTCGAATTAATTAAACAAGAAATAATTTCAACATTGGAAATAAACCCGTCCCTATTTAATGTTTACCGATCGACGCGGTGTGGTCTAAAAACGACTCGATGATTTATGTTATTGCAGATATATTGGTTGCATAAATACAGGTTCGCAGATATGTATGGAAACGGTCGATTACTTTCTAAAGTTAGATAGCTAGCAAAAAATTTTAAATACAAAAGTTTTTGGGTATTTTAAAATATGTTACAATAAAGAAAAATTGAGTATACAGGGTCAGTCAAAAAATTACGTCGAAACAAAGTTGCTTTTTCTTTAATGGAACACCCTATATACTATTCCATATTTCAATTGATATTAACATTCTAAACAAAATTCTAATGATTTGAAATATGGAATAATATACATGATGTTCTGTTAAAGAAAAAACAACTTTGTTTCGTCCTGACTTTTTGACCGACTCTGTATACTTAATTTCTTTCTATTGTAATATATTTAAAAGAGAACCATAAAACTTTTTATTCAACATTTTTTGCTAGCTACCTTATATGAGAACATAATGGACCAATTCCATACATATCAGTGACCTTGTATATGGGTCGCACATACACACAAGGTATACCACATTAGACTAGCAATAACGAAACAGTATCGTTTCTTCTTATACATATGCAAACGCTATTTTATAAGTCATTTAACAAAAGCACTGTATGTACACTATTTTTAGTCATTGACTAATAGTCTAAGATACGAAGTGAGGTCGACCTTACCGGATAGAAGTTATTTTTTATTAAATAAAATATATTTATAAATATTCCGCAAATAGGTTGCCTAAGAAAATACTGTCAAGACTATTTGTTTTCTTAAAGTAAGAAACGACACCTTTTTAAGTAACCCCAGATGCCTCGACTATGCCCAAAATTTAATCAGCTCACTCCATTTTTGACTTATCTTTAAAATTCAAAATTTACACTTTTCCCATATCTCGAATATGGTTCATTTTAGGGTAATCATGTACAGGAGAAGACTTGTCACAAACAACTTTTATCATGATTTCTATACTTTCCTTATCTGTATACATAATAGTCCATTTAAAATAACGGTAAAAGGTCGAGAAACACCGCACTTGACGAGACCACTTGTCCCCCTACGTATTTTGGGGCGCTGATTACGAAAATCGGGGTTAAAACTTGCAGAAATGGTTGAACCATCCCTAAAATTGCAAAAAATAGAGGTGTTTTTCGACTGTACTTGTAGGAGGTGTTTTATTGCAATTTTAGGAGTGGTTCAACCATTTCTGCAAGTTTGAAGCCCGAGTTTCATAATCAGCGCCCCAAAAAACATATGAGATGAGTTAGTTTGCAAAACAACAAGTACAGTCGAAAAACACCTCTATTTAGGGGCGTTTTTTGCAATTTTAGGGGTGTTTCAACCATTGCTGCCAGTTTTAACCCTCATTTTCGTAATCAGCGCCCCAAAATACGTAGGGGACAAGTGGTCTCGTCAAGGGCGGCGTTTCTCGACCTTTTACCGTTATTTTAAATGGACTATAAAGGAAACTAATAGCCGTGACAGTATTTATTTAGGCAACCCATTTGCGATATGTTTATAAACATCTTTTATTTAATAAAAAATACCTTATAACCGGTAAGCAGATGGGCGAAGGTCGACCTTCTTTCGTATCGTGTACTACTGTTATAAATTTTGTAAGACAAATATACCAAATTTTAGATTGGTCAATATATGGTAAAAAAATAATTTACTAAGTTTAATACGGAATGCTTAAAAAGCTGAAAAATATTATTTTTCAATTATAAACAGTTTTCTCTAAAAAGATATAATACAAATTTATACCCAAAAGTAGAATTTTGATTTGGTTCTAATATTAAAACCGTTGCAGTATTTCGCGCAGCTAGAAACATCTCATACCCATTATATTTTTGATAATTTGTTGTGCATTTTCTTTATACCACTTTATTTCATTTTCATAAATCATGTACACAGTAGAGACTTTTTCACAGAGACACTATTAATATTTTTATATATAATTTGAACTCATCTGCGTTCTTTAAATTGAAAGAATGTATTTGAGACTAAAACATAAATTACTTTATTTATATAGGATGCAGTCCAATCAGTCGTGATTTTGGTTCATTGCAAATTTACGAATGTATATCTTTGTAACCTTTCTTATATCTACATCTTCTATTCTGGTGCTTTCTAATTTAACTGTTTAGATGACATTACTTCATTTTATTGCAGTTTTTTCTTTCCTAATCCTTCTATATAATTTTCTTTAATTTTTTTCGTCATCTGTGTACAGTATTACATCATCAGCGTAAAGTAGATTTTTTATCTTTAGTGATCTAAGATTGTGGTACCCAATAGTTGTGTATATCTTACGTTTCTCTTTGGTGATTTTTTATTAATCTATTTATCACTATTATGAGCAGAAGGATCTTTCCCCATTAATTTGAACGCTACCTTGAAATTGGTGATTTATATACTCGTACGTATTTTTGACAACTCGTATTAATTTTCTTTTTGTTTTTACTAAAGTTCCAGGTACCGTTATTCCGGGTGGCTTGAGACGGTTTTGATTTTTGCACAAGGATGTTTCTTCTAAAAAGTTTCGACTCATTTACTACTTAGATACACAAGATAATGAGTCTTCACACGTAGAATCAATTTTATTAATTACATTTTAGTTAAGCACACGTTTTCATATAATTAAAAAAAAAATTGGCTGTCTCAAGTCATACCTATTTCCGGGTGAATTGAGACAACAACGTTTTTAGACGCGCTGCTCATGTTTAACACCAAGAAGTTGACTTGAGACTTAAAGGATCTTTTAAAAAAGTAATGTGACTCTTGTAAACCATAATTATTTACAAAATATTCCTTTAAAATGTGCTTTACTTATCTAAAACATTGCTTATAACAAATAAAAGAAACAAGACACGAAAAGATAAACAAATAAACAGTAGATGAGTAATATAAAAGTAAATTTCTATGGGGAAGCAGTGCCTTCCTCGTTTTATGAAGTTTGGCTTCACCCGACAAATAATCTGAATTCTATTTATGTCGGACGTATCAGACACTTGTGGAAATATAAAAATGTTTTTTCCATCGGAACTTTTTCGCAAAAATTTACAGTGAAGTACATCATTGGGTTTCACTTCTAGAATTTCTCCAATAAATTTTTTTTGTGACTTTCCTTTCCTGTGGCGCTATAAGAAAACCCTTCGCTTCGAATTATCGTTACTGTCAAGTTAATTAAGGCATTTAGGCAAGAGCCTAGGAAAAACATCTTTCGACACACTTCCTTTATGCTTCATTTACCAGTCCAATAATACATTTCGCCAGGCAGACTTGAGCGGTTTAAAATATGCTACCAGTCTTCAAACAATGCTTCATTAAACCAGCCAGACTTACTTCTATTGTATCTTGCGCCAGGAGGGCCTCCTGAGGTCCAAGTGTTATATAGGTTTTCTGCCTTGTACACTACGTAAACAGGTAATAAGGTTCTTGAAGCAGTACCAGCAAACATGACGGAATGACTGGTCTTGGATGAGTCGATAATTCTATGAGCATGTTTCGACCCACGTCGAGCAATAACTTTGCTTTTTACTGGGTCATCTGAGATATTAGTTTCTTCATAGTTAACTAAGAGATGAGGCTCGATATTCCATCGAGGTTTTTTTCAAGTTCATCAAAATATGCGTTCACCGTAACGTTGTTAAAATTTGATGATGTCTCTTCAAAAAACCATAGTTCCAGTCTTTTCCAGGCCAGTTGTTGTTACTAAATTTTTGCACACCTTGTCTATCTAAATATGACTTAACTAATGTTTTTAAGTCGTTAGCTGTAAAGGGAAATTCCCAACGACAAGCAACATCTATATTATGTATCATTCTCTGCTCTTCTTGTGATGATAAAATTGTTTGATCACCATAATTTCGCATATGGGTATTATTTACTTTCCGTTGGATTGTATCGCGGGCTATTCCATATTTTTCAGAAAGTTTTCTATAGGATTTACCCGCCCTTTTCCTGTCTTCAACGGCTTCATTTAGTTTTTGAGGGTTATAATCAGCATATCGTTGACTCCCAAATGTTCTTCTATATTTACCCATGTTAAACTGAAAAATAAATTAAAAAAACAACTAAATAACGACCTTAAAAGTAACGTCGGGTGACTTGAGGCGCCATTTTGCATTAGTTTATATAAAAAAAATAGTAATAAAAAATTTAAATAACTTTCTATGTCGCAATAGATACACAAAAAAGAAATTTATTAATTTAAAAAATTCAATGATAAGTATAGTTAGGTAAAGAATTATAAACAAAGTTTTGACGATTATTTTGTATTCTAGAAATTACGTAAAACAAAAAATCTAGCGCAAAAAATCACTTAACACCTGCTCGACGATTCAAACGCTACTGAAACAGTTCGTAGATGTCCTGGTAATAAAATAACTTCGTTTGAAATGCAACGTTGCCGCGTTAATTTAACGGAATTTAGAAAGTTTTGTCTCAAGTCACCCGGCCGGCTCAAGTCACCAGGAATGACGGTACCTGTTTTTTGTCTTTTTTCATCATATTGCTAAGGAGTATTGTCTGTGGTTTGTCTCTTATAATGCTTATTGTTCTAGTTTTCTATTTGTTATCTTTATTCTTAATTTTTTTTTCCGGCTATTTTTGTGTATAACTTCTTCACCTCATTTCTGCTAATTCTAAATAAACCCAAGTTTCGTTCGGTATATTTATAAATTGCTTGTTTTGTGTTAATTGTGAGATAATAATGTTTCTGTGAAAAAGTTTCCTATAGGTAATAATTATTTTTATTGGAGTATTTCAGCATTTTAATCAGCAATATGCGAATAAGAGCGATGCAGGTATACCAACATTCATAGTTATTTATGCAGCTGTAATATTATTGAAAGTAATGTATATATAGAGCAAGTATGTTCCACATTTTACATAATGATAAAATATATAGGATGGATTAAACAAAACTAAATATATGAAAATACATTAAATATAGTGTTGATTAATTTGACAAATAAAGATATGCCTCATTTCGGCACATCATTAAAAAAAACATTGATCCATCCTGTAGCCTATAATGCATCACTAGTATTTTCTACATGTTTAAAAATCGATTGTTCACTTTACTGTTATTTGATTTTTAATTCTTTAAATATGGTGCTCATTATTTTAATTTGTAAAATAGGTAAGTATTGGTGAACTTTCAATTTTTCGTTATTATTTTTAGTATAATTTTATTCTTATAGTCTTGTTGAGATTTAATATAAATATATAATCGTTTGCATATATTTTTTTATTGTATGTAATTGTAATATATCTCATATAATTTACTTAACACCGTTGTTTTTCTACAATTTTCTTAAAAATACCAGTAATAATCATTTAGAGGGAAACTACAATTTTGAAAATCATTTAACAGAAGAAAGTAAGAGTTTCGAATTTAACTATGAAATCTCCATAATTTGATGGAGGTAGGTATTCTAAAGATCGCTCTTTAGGCGGCAGTTGAAAATGGGCCTGTCCAGAGCTCTAAACCGTTACATATCTAAGTAACCAACCTGCGTTAATTACAGTTTAATAATAAAGTATTTTACTAAAAACTGTTTTCTCTAATTTCGCTACATGTTTTCACAACCGAAGGTCAGGTCAAAGTATTAATCTGTAATTTTTTTGTTGAAATTGATATAGGTATATGGTGCATGGAAATATTAAAAAAATGCAAATATTATTTTAAAAATAAGGATGAAGCGTTACAGAAACACCTACAATTTCAAAAACAAAAATAAGGAGATTAATTGGAGGATATTACATTTGTTTTGATACATAATTTTTAATGTAAACCATAATAAGTTTTGTAAAGACTGACTTTTATTACAGCAAAAGGATTTTCTGAGTAATCTACTTTCGTATGTTATTTTCATGACATACGATCTACAAAAATTGGATAAAATTTTTTTCAAGCTAAATAGTATATGCAATAAGAAGTGGGTAAGTATGATGACCAAATTGCATGGAGACAACGTTTGAGCACGACGCTATATAGGCGGAGTGCTCAATGGTCTGACTGCAATACGAGCAAACTACTTAAATTGTATATTTTTTCTACGAATCATTAAAAAAAGTCTGCAACATTTTAAATAATAATTTAGAGATTTTAGTAATTTATAAAATGAACTTAAAAGAATTTGGCTTTAACCATGATTTGAACCCCGGACCTTTTGCACGGGAACTTATCAGTTAAGTTTTCGCGCCAACGGCTTACAATTTATTTTTCCTTTAGTTAATGTTATTATAATTTACCAAAATATACGGTTCTTTGTTTCTTTATAACTATTAACGATCAATATCATTCTTTATCGATTCTTTACAAGGATCACTTATTTTTAATTATATTTTGTCCTAATAACACAAAATATTCTGACAATTATTTTTTCTACACCCACATGGATATTAGCTTATCTACGCACAGATTACAAAACGAAAAAGTATGCTTGCTTTCAACTGAACGAATATATTTCATATCCATTTTAGGTAGTGAGAACACTGCAAAAAATGAAATCCACCAATCACCGTTCATATTTTGATCAACCGACTGCTATTATTTTAAAAATTTTAAATAAGTGACAATTCTGTCAAACTAATTGTCAGTAGGTATATTTTTTAGTTATTGAGATTAAACATATATTAAAATGGGTTATTCTTGTGTAGAATCGATAAATACTAACAATTCTGTTTTTATTTCGTCTATAATTATAAATAATTTGTTAATGTTAATAATACCATATGAAGTACGAGTATTAAAGCAACAAAAATAAAAGAATAGGTGGTCCTGTGGTCAGCGTTCTTGCCTTCCACACGGAATACTCGAGTTCTTTTTTTTTCATTTATTTTATTTTAAAAATTATTAAAAGTCATAAATTATTTTAAAATTAGTTATTTTGTCTTAATAACCTAAAATATTTTTTTTTAATTTGTAGATTTACGTTAGTGGGTCGTAGAAAAAAATATACTGCAACTCGAGTGGATTGTCCACATCGCACTCAGATGAATTTCGTCTTCGTGCGATATGGCCATCATATCCACTCTTGTTGCACAAGAAGGCGAAGTTTGAACATGACGCTATATGCGGAGTGTTCAATTGTCTAATCATGATACGAACAATCCACTCAAGTTATACATTATACTTTTTCTACGATCAACTAACATAATTAATTTAGAAGTTATTAGGATTAAATAATTTTACTTTTACTAAAAATAAAAACATTCTAATTAGCCTTCATCTTGGACTTGAACCTTGGACCTTCCGCATTAGAACTCGGTACTGTATCTCTTCGCCAACGATACTGAAAATTCGATTGGTTCTGGATAGTTTTATTAAAATTTACGATTTATTCTTAAATATAGACAAATATCTTGTCAAATTATATTATTTATCGATTCTTTTCAAGAATCGTCTATTTTAATTTATAGTAAATATCAATAACTAAAAAATATACTGACAATTATTTCGTCAGAATTCTTCACTTATTTAAAATTTAAAAAAATAAAAGCCCGTTCACCAAATATGATGGATTTCATATTACACACATTGTCTTTTCTAGAATGGATATGAAATTATAATATATCTGTAAAAAAGAAGAAAATCAAGTTCTACAAATAAATTTATTATTTTGTTAAAGAACATAAAGAAGTTAATGATTCTATTTTTTAAAATAACTTCGGGAAGATGACGTACGCTCAAGCGTACACATTCTTCCAATCATCTGAAATTATTCATTAAGTTTGGTCCACTTCCTGTCAGATCCGTTCTTACAAGGCTTGAACTGTTTGTGGGTTATCTTAAAACATTTTACTTTTCAAGTAAAACCCTACAAGAAAAAACGCACGTTGTGAGGTCTGGTGAACGAGGAGGCAGGTTCGAGAAATAACATAATTTGGAGATAACTTCTTTTGATAAAACGCCTTTACAGCATACGGGCGCTGTTGAAGGATCCACCACTCCATTATTTCCAAATGCTAATACACAATAAGAAACATATGGTCGATAGCATTCCTACCACCTCCTAATGATACGCCGCGGTTTCCGGGTTTTTTAAAAACTCGTTATTCTGTCGCAGCCTGCATATTCAATTAGTAGAACATAATGTCTGTTCGTAGAAATAATATCCATGTGGGTGTAGAATATTTAGTTACTGGGCTATTAAACATTTGGTGGATTTCATATACATTCTAGAATAGATATAATGTATCCGCCAGTGGGGTTTGTGGATAATAATAATAATAAATACGTTTATTACTCAATAGTATTATATAAACATAACAAATAAATTATACACGAAACCTTGAGTAAATGGCATTTAGCTCAGTGCATTTAAGTCTTTTGAACTAAAATGTCTGTTCTTCCGCTAAAGCCCGATTATTCTTAACTAATAACAAACATTGAATTAGCAATAAATGAAAAAAAAATCTTATTTAAGAGACATATAAAAAAAATATACTAATACTAAACACGCTAAAATTAAGGTAAAAACAGATAATATAAGAACAAAATAACAATAAATGTATCTGTGATAACCTAAATAATAAAGAAAAAGTTGATAAGGACAATACAACAATAAGAGTTAGCATCATAAAGTAAGTAGGTGATTTTTGTAGTTCATTTTGAAGCTATTTGGAGAAAGTGTGATATTAAAAAGATTATTTTCCATTAGATTATTTGCAGATTTTGCCATGTTGTATGAAAATGCTCGTTTAAATATTTCTTTACGATGAGAAGGTATGGTAAGCATTTGCTTTCGTCGTATATTTACATTGTAGACATCAGTACGATATTTAATCTTTTTATGTAAATATGCTGGAGTTTTGGACTTTATAATTTTAAATATAAAAGAAGCAAAATGCATTTTTCGGCGATTATGCATATTAAGCCATTTCAAATTTTTAAGTTTATACGTTACTCTATGCCTACGTCTAATGCCGTAAATTAATCTAATGCAAGAATTTTGTATTTTTTGAATACGGGCTTTGTCAGCAGCGTCTAGACATGAACCATACACTGTATCACAATGATCAAACAGCGATAGTATAAGTGTGTCGCATAATTTTTTTTATGTTAACATCCAAAAATTGTATTTGAGGATAAATTGCTTTTAGTGCACAATATGACAGTTTCAGTTTAGATATGATATGGTCTTTAAATCTTAACTTATTATCAACAACTAGTCCCAAACTTTTTCCATTGCTATTAAAAGGAATGATTTCAGATTCTATTTTTAGTTGCATCTGGTTTTGTACTGCAATTCCTTAGATTAAAGAGACCGAAGATGTAACATTGCACACTGCGCATGCTGTCTATTTTAAGCCAAAGTAACCCACCAATTGAAAATCATTGTTGCACGACGCCACCCGAATTGCTCCGATTTCCATTCAGCGATCACACCTCCACCTGAGTTTAATCACCATTGACAGCTGTTTTTTGATTTATTTGTTGGTATTTTAGCAATTTAAAGTGTTCTAGTTATTCAATTTCAAGTTCAAAATGTCACGATGTATCTTGAAAAATTGTATGTACTTATAATACAAGTACTACTGTTATGAATATATTCGTTTTCAGCGGTAAATATTTATTAACGTTTTGACATAAAGCGCCATGATTCTCTGGGCTGAATACTTCAGATCCGCATTAAGGGGTTTCAATAAATATTAAGCATCAGATTTCATATTACTTACATAAATTTACAAAAGGGTAAAATTTTGAACATTTAATTTAAATAAATAGTAAATAGGCATTATTGCTAACGAAATTTTGTATTTAAATAGTAGTTTCATAAGAATGTTTTCTAAAGGTAGTGTTTAGCCCTTTTTGGTAGATAAATAAGAGGTAAAGAATCATAGTTGCTAGCTAAATTTTATTTTTATAAGGTATTTTTATAAGAATATTAGATGAAATACAGGATGACCTACTTAAAATTTCAAGGTTCATCTTATTTGCGGTCAAATCGAAAGTGACATTGAATTTTCAGTCTTAAAACAAAGTAATCTAGTATAAACAAAAAAAAAATACTAAAGTTACAGGAGTTAGGTCCGATTCCACCGTTGTGTTAAACGGAGATTAAAATGACAGTGTTAATGTAAAAATGTCATTTTAAATTTCGTTTAACACAACGGTGGAATCAACCCTTAGTCACGTTAATAAAATGTTACATTACAAACCCCT